TCTGGGCTCCGTGGCGGGTGGAGGGCCATTGAAGAGGGCCAGCCCCTTCCCCAACTGCAGGGAGAGGGGTTCCAGGCCTGCTGCTCTAGCGAGGGAGGCGGGCGCCTGCATGTGTCGGCCAAACGGCATCGGAGCGCGAGCTGGATAGATAGATGGATGGATGCAAGCAACTGGCTTTGCTGAGACAAAAGCTCATCAGCAAATAATGATCTTTAACATTTCAGGACTGGAGGCTGTGGATGTCTTTAATAGCATGCAACTATATCCTGTAGTGAGAGCAAGTTATGATGCAATTTTGCAGAATGTATGTAAAAAGGATGACATTTCAAAGGTGTAAGCTTCACCGAAAAAGACAAAAAGAAGGAGAATCCTTGGAAGAATTCCTAACAGAGTTGAAATTAATAAGCCAAACTTGAACCTGTAGACAGTTAATAGATTCAGTTGCAAGGGATCAAGCTGGAATTGGAATCAGAGTCCAAAGCTGAAAAAAGACTAATGGAAGATATGGATCTCATGTTGGATAAAGCAGTAAGATTGGGTGAGGCAGCAGAAATCACTCAGACCAGAATACAAATAATGGAAGGAAAAACAGAATACTGGCACTCTGTATAAAGTAACATGAGAGAAAAAAACTGGCAAGCAGTAAGTCAGTACAGAACAAAACACGCACAGACAAGCTTGAAAAAACAATAAAGCACAAGAATTTTCAAGGTATAACTTCAAGTATTGCACAAGATGTGGACACAAATACAAACCTCAACAGTGGACTGTTTTTGGCGAGTACTGCAATATTTGTAAGAAATACAGTCACGTTGCCAATGTCCGTAACCAGGATCAACAACTGCAGACGAGGAAGCAAAGCAAGCATGCTGATGCAGAAATCCAGGAAAAGAGCACAGATAGCAATGCAGAATAAGAATTCTACCTAGGAGCTCTATCTGAACAGAAAGGAACAGAGAAATGGACCATTCCTTTAGGGACTAATGGGACTTTTATAACCTACAAATTGGACCCCGGGGCCCATGTAAATGTTGTTTCAGATGTTGGTGTTTAAAGGTTAAAGAAAATGTGCAAATTAGTTCAATTTAAAACATATAGGGTATGTCTATACTACATGACTCTGTCGATGGAGCCATGTAAACTAATTTAACCGGCATAGGCCAAGAAGCAGGGATTTAAATAATCCCTGCTCCATTGAAATAAACATGGCTGCTGCGCTGTGCCGATGATTGGCTGATCCGGCACAGCGCGGTAGTTTAGATGCGGATCGGTCGGCTGGGGAAGCTTTTGCCGACTGATCCTGTAAACCTCGTTTCACGACCAAGCCGCGTCTAGACTACCGCGCTGTGCCGGATCAGCTGATCGTCGGCACAGCATGGCGGCCATGTTTATTTTAATGAAGCGAGGATTATTTAAATCCCTGCTTTTTTGCCTATGATGGATAAACTAGTTTACATGGCTCCATCGATGGAGCCATGTAGTCTAGACATACCCATAATGGGAAGTTCATTCCTAAGAGAGATACACTGTATCAGCAGTGAAGGTGAAAGATCAAATATAATTGATAAACTTTGTGTTAGTTAAAGGGAATTAAGCACCCATATTGCGTTTAAAAATATTCCAAGCCCTTGGGCTAATTCAGAAGGTGAACATAGTAAGAGGAGACAAGCGACACAGACACATAGTGGGGGGGTGATAAAATTCCTGCGCGTTGGCTGCACATGTACATCAGGGCAACCTCTGGCAGGTCTCCAGATAGTTTTGTTTACTTGAACATCCACAGGCACAGCCGCTTGCAGCCAGTTGATTGGGCCACTGCTTCCCACTGCTCCAATTGTCTGGGAATGGTGAAACAGCCACTGGGAGCTACGAGTGACTGTGACTGTGGATGCTCAGGTAAACACATTGTCTGGTGGCCCTCCAGCAGCTAACCCTGAGGAACTGCATGAGGCTGGTGTGCTGGAGCTTCCCCACCCCTGACATAGTGGAATAGCATCAGGAAATTGAGGTCATAGGGAAATTAGCAACTGAACAGAGCCATATCGTCTTATCCTATATGACCCTAGAAATACGCAGACAGCTAGGAGAAAAAAGCTCAAAGAATAACTGGATCATTTAGTAAGAAAAATTATAATTAGAAGATCCTATAGATTGGATGCACTCATTAATAATAGTAGAAAAAAAGAATGGAACACTAAGATTATGCCTACCTCTTGAAGTGCTTAACAAATATATCAAAAGGAAACATCTTCAGTTACCAATCAGGAAAGACATTTTTGGTGATAGTGCAACGTATTTTACTGCTTTAGCTGCAATGTCTGTATTCTGGCAGATTCCTGTAGATGAGACAAATTATGATTTTTTGTATCACTCCAGCGCGCGAGCGGCCAAGCCCCCAGATTTTTTTTTTTTTTTTTTTTTTTGTGCAGCAAACCTTTGAGGGAGCTGAAGGCACAAAATTCATATTTTGAAGGACATATTCATCTGGGGCAATGGAGGAATATAATGACAGGTTAAAGAGAGCACTAGAAAGACCTAGAGCAGTGGGAGTGAAGCTAAATATTCAGGCTTAGAGAAATTACCTATTGAGGAGAAAAGTCAACTGAACAATGGGTATATATTGGTCCTAGCACAATATAAGCAAAATATGGCATACTAAAAAATATGGCGGAAGTACAGAAGTTGATAAGAGTGGTTAAATTTGTTGGTAAATTTATGTGGATAAATCTCTGTAACATTTCCATATAACCATGTATCATTCTCATATAACTTTGTATTAAGAGAAACTTTGGAAGTCCTTTTAGATAGATAGATAGATAGATAGATAGATAGATAGATAGATAGATCTTGTCCTTTTATGTATATCTTTTTGTTAAGCCTTCTTATAGAATCCCTTGTATTAAGAGAAACCTTGTATCCAGTCTTTATGCATAGAAACTGTATTAAGCCCTTTATGTTATAGGTCTTAGGAATAGAAAAATATATTTTTCTAGGGGTAGAATAGATCTCTCACCTTTCCTTGATTGTTCTGTTGAAATGAAAGAGGTGTGAATGGAGAAGCCTTGAAAGGTGAGCACTTCCAGCAGCAGTTGCAAGAGTAGAGAGGGGCTAGGAACCAGATCCAAAGATAATAAGACTTGTGAAGTGAGCTCATTGAAAAGATGATTGGACATATAGATTCCTTGGTAGTCAAGCAGCAAGTGCTGAAGGACCCTCTTTGAAGCAGCACTAAAAAAGTATCTCACTACATATGTAAATAATGACTAACTGGCTGCATGAGAAGGACAAATATGAGGCATCTTGCAGGGGGACCCCAAGTTTTTCGTCTTGTCAACATTGGAGCATCGATCCGGATCGGTAGAAGCCCGGCTCTAACCCTCCCCCGTCTAACTTAGCTGGCCAGAGTAGTTAGGGGGAGCAACTATTGGTAACAACAAGACAGAGTGTGCTTGTGTGTGTGTGTGTGTGTGTGTGTGTGTGT